CTCTTCCGATCTCCCCAAAACCCCAAAACCCCACTATCAAGATTAAGAATTTTCATAAGAAAATGATAGACTAATAAATATTAAAGATTTACAACTAAAAATATCCTATTCTTTACAACTTAATCATACTATTTTTAATAATATTAGTCTAATAAATATGAAGAAAAAATAATATCCATTTATCGTTTTGATGACATTACTTACAATTTTTCATAAATTAGCCTTAATTCATTCTCAATATTGCTCTTAGGGTTTCTACCACGATAATTAAACACAAATCTGCTAATGTAAAGTTGTCAAATTAAAATTTTAGAATGCGATAAATCCTGCACAACCTGTACTTGAAACAACGAGTGCGAAACTTGTCTGGAAAATATGATAAAAGATGACAACACATTCTTGTGCAAGTATTGTGAAAATGGATATTATTTCTAAGATAACTAATGCAAAAGTAAATCAGATCTTCATAACCATAGAAGAATGTAGCTCAGATTGTGCTTTTGGATTATGCATTCAAAATGATTCATGCCTAATATGTCCTTATAATCTATTACTAGATCCTAGTAATCTTTAATGTCTGAGAGTTTGCTCATCAGAAAATGAATATCCTTGAACAATCAGCTATAACTCTGCTTCTCTAAATTATTGTCGTGGTAATTTACGCAATCAACAATTTATTTTAATAGGAAGTGAAATTTATGTGGATTCAAAATCTTAAGAACACTTAGAACTAGGATCCAAATTATATCCATACAAAGATCTCCAAAAAGCTCTCATTGAGATATCTAATATCTGGACAGAAAGCAATAATAAATTTGAGATTCTTATTAAAGAAGGTATTGATGTATATTTGAATACAAATAACTTGATACATACTATCGATTCAGTCAGTCTAACTATCAGGTATGTATAGTTAACTTTTAAATTATATAGGACATACTAACTTGGGGATGAAAATAAGGAAGGGACTAAATCAAATTTGTATATTATTTCCAAATAAAGTAGTGAATAAATTGCTTAATCTCAATATTCACTCTTAAGCAATCTATCCTACTAGTATGCTACAAGTCTTGATGATAAATACGGCTTAAGCAAGTTAACATAATCTGAATTTTAAAAGATATCAAATATTCAAAAATCTGCACTTCAAGTAGTCAGATCAAATTTAACAATCAGTAATCTGAGAATCATTAGTAAGAATCTTAGAGTAATAAATTAATAATTTATTAGATGAACATGATGAAATTAATGAAAACTTTTTGTTTATATTTGCATGGGATATCTAACATAATAGAGTAGTGTTGAAAGTAAGAAAATAGTTTTTTTTATATTTTTAGAATCTTGAGTTCAAAATATATGGAAGTGTGTTTTAGACATTGAATCCACTAAATTTTGAAATAATAAATTCATCTCTTCTTACTGATTATATGAAACAAGGCATTAAAATTATTGCTGAATGCACTCTTTTAGATTAAAATGCTAACTATGGAGATATTAATCTAAAGAATGTTACTCTATATGGAGAAAAATTCTTGACAATTTCAGAACCATTGATTTACATAAATAGTATCAATAACATCACTGTCGACGAATGTAGTTTCAAATCTTACACAAAACTTGGAGATCCAAATTTACATATTTTAATGATTGATTCAGTTGATAGTTGTCAAGTCACTGATATCAGTGACAAAAGGATTAGATATCTTAACTATACAAATAACTACCAGACAACTGAGACTAAAGATTGGTAAGACTCAGTATCTTTAGTGTCTATTTTTATAAGAAGGGGAGGAGATTAAATTAGAAACATTGTTGAAATAATTGAAAACATAACTGTTGAGAATGCTAAAAGCAATAGAGACTTTATATAAATAGGGTCCTATTTACCCAGTCTTACTTTGAGAAACTTCTATTTTAAGAATGCAGTGTTGTACTATTAGCCTACATATGGTGGTAATAATTAGTAAAAGTCTAATTAATATTATAGTTAATGCTACTCTAGATGGCGATCTTTATATCTAAAGTATCATCTTTTATCCTATTGTTAAAATATTTTAGATTTTACATATATTGAGTCGGAATGCTATGGTAGAATTCTTTTTTTATTTTTTGGCGCCAAAAATCTTTATGTAGATGGTTTATATATTAAAAGCAATATAAGTACATCCTATGCTATTTATTGTTTAATTTTATAGTGGATCCAACCTAGAATTCTCAGACACTAGTTAAGCATTCAACTGCTCCTTTCAATGCCACCACAAATATCGTCAATGCTCATTTTGAAAATAACACACTCTATTAGAATAATGCTTTTTAAGCTGATCGTTCCACTTAATTGTTCTCTATTGTCAACTCAACTTTTACTGATGAAAGTAATAAGAAAATCTTTTTTAAAAATATTATTTTTTTAGAGGTTGATTCAAATAGTGTTTATCTTGGGATCTTTAAAACCTAAAGAATAGTTATGGAAAATGTGATTATTAAAAATATTCATTATGGATATTAGCTAAAAGTCTATAGCTATTTTCTCAGGATAGATGTACTTGAAATTTTTGAGTATTCTTTGAATTCATCTATCCACAATCTTACTTATAACAATAATTCAATTAGTTTCATGAGGTTTAAGGGATATGAATTAGCAGAAAAATGAACTCCTGATTATTACAAGTTCAATCTTGAAAATATTAATATCGAGCATAATAATTTGGAGGATGGTATGAGTATCATAGAATTCGATTCTTATGTAAATACTCTAGATCTTAGTGTAGTTATTACAAAATCAGTTTTTAGGAATAATACCTTTAAAACTAAGGGGAGCTTGATTCTAGCTACCTGCAACGATCAATAACCTATCTTGATATAAAATTCATCTTTTGTTGAAAATATAAGAGCTTAAATATTGCTAGAGGCAACAGATAAGGAATAAGTTACTGTTCCCTTATAATTAAAAATAGTTAATTCCACATTTATTCGAAATCAACCGGTAGTTGATGCATTGATCAAACTTAAAACAAACTCTAAATTATATGTTTATGATTCTATATTCCATGAAAATTATTCTAATTCAAGAGGTAGTGTGATATTTGGAGATTTTTAAAATACTTAGACTTTTATTTACAGTTCTACTTTCACAAAAAATTTTGCTAAAACAGGTGGGGTTTTTTACTCTATGTATAATAGTAGTATGGAATTTCAACATTGCAAATTCTTAGAAAATGTAGCGTTTTAGGGTGGAATTGGATATGCTTGAGACCAAGCAACTATTTGAATAAAAGATTCAATTATAAAAGAGAATTATGCATAATACTCAAATATTCTGTTGCTGGAAAATTCAATAGAAGAGGATTCATTAATCTAAAACACTTTAATTGAAGAAAATCAATCAAAGGAAATAAATTATACTAACTTAAATTTAACCCTTTTTAGCTAATTTATCAGTGATATGAAGGATTAAGATGAAAGTAATAGTTTTGATATTAGAAATGGATTGTTAACAATAATTAATTGCAAAATTAGAGGTCATAGATAATTAATGAGTGTATATCAATCAACAATAAGAATTATTGATAGTTTTATCTGCAATAGCACTCTATAAATCAATGATAATTATTTCCTGTCAGTAACTTAAGCAGTATTACAAATTAAGAATTCGTTTTTTGAAAATTTCAATTATTAAGATTCAACTAGACAGATAAATCCTTTATTAAGAATGGCACTAAATACTGAAACTACTATCGAGAGATCAAATTTTAGCCAAATAAATTTAAACTTAATTGAAATGACATATTCTTCACTCAAAATTTAGCATGTTGTCATTTCTAACAGCATGATTGATTCATAACAGGTATTATTTTATGTAGATGCTAGCACAGTTAAGCTTACTTAAATCTACTTCTACAATAATAGAATACAAAACTAATATATCTTTAAAATTTTAAGGTCAGATTCGATTGTTATATAAAGTTGTATCTTCGAAGATATAGATACTTAATTGATTAGCATAAGAAAATCAGCCTTAAATATTACCAATTCAATTTTTGCAGCTACTTAACTGATTCAAGATAAAAATTATCCAAAAGATTTTAGAGCTATAGATTCTCTCTATACTGATATCTATATTAATAACTCTTAATTTCATAACTAAGTTTCTTAACAAAAAGGAGGAGCAATAAGATCTTCAAAAGGGAACATGAAAATAGAAAACTCTAAATTTGAAAAAAATAAGGCGTAAATAGGAGGCTCTTTAGATTTATTTTGCTCTAGATGTAAAAAATAATAATCTTTAACATTTTCTAGAGCTATTTTGTAACTATTAGATTTTAAATTCAACATTTTCAAATAATGAAGCAGTGATACAAGGAGGATCTATAAATTATAACAAATATAGACCCAGTTTTCTAAATTCAAATAAATTCTTTGATAATTAAGCTCCCTATGGCCCAAATATTTCAAGTTTTGCAGTTGCCATAAGATTAACAAAAATATGATATCAAAATGTGGCAAGCGGCCAAAATTTTAATTAATCTATTGAAGCAGAATTAATTGATTTTGATGACTAAGTTATTTCAGTTGATTATCTCTCGTAAGTATTTAATTTATCAGATATTAAGCTTAAATTATTAATAGGACATTGATTATAACTGAAATTGACAAAGAAAAAAGTTTGGTTCAAAGCTAAAAATAAATCAAAGTGAATGAGGGAAAAGTTATCTTTGATAGTCTAACATTTATTTCTAAACCTGGATCAGTAGGAGTTATGTTCAAGATATATTCTCCAAACATCATTGATAGCTATATTAGTTAGATACTCTCATTTGAAAATAAAATGACAACTATAAATGAGGCTATTGTTTACAATGCTTGATAGGAGAGTATGAGTTTAATAATTAGTAATAGCTTTATATCTTTTCATAAATCCATTTATAGATGTATACCTTGTGAGCATGGATACTATTCGTTAAATCAAGATTAAAAAGAATGCCAAGAATGTCCAGATAATGCTGAATGTCCCGGAGGAGCTAGAATAATTGTAAATGCTGGATTCTGGTGATCATCAAATTCCTCCACAAACTTAGTGGAATGCTTACAGAACAAAGCTTGCTTAGGAGGAGAATTTATTGAATAAGATGAGAATAGTCTTTGCATATTTGGTCATGGTGGTAATCTATGTGAAAGATGCCTTGAAATTAACGGGACAAGATATACAAAATCTTATTCAAATATGTGTGAGCCATGCCCATTAATTTATGTGAATGCTTTGCTGATAGTTACTATAAGTATAGCTATCCTCGTCTACATAGGATTGATTATTACTTTAAATATCAGAATTTCTTAGGCATAAAGCAAGGATAGATCTACAGTGCTTAAAATTTTAACAAATTTTGTCTAAATGCTAACAATGACATTCTCATTGAAATTAGATTGGCCTGTTTCAATGTAAGATTTTCATAATGTTGTAGCTCAAATTGGATACTCTTAAGATTCAATTATTTCTATAGATTGTTTCTTATCAGAATCTGCTCCATATAATACTAGCCACTCTCATATTTACTTAAAGACAATTTTAATTGGTTTAATGCCGTTTATGATATTTGTGATTTTCTTAGTAGTAATGATCCTTCTTATAATTTTCCAAAGAAAGAGATTTGAAATTATTAAAAAATGGCTCGTGGTTTAAGCTTTAATTGTTGTTCATTTTTTACATCCGTCAATTTCAAAATATATTGTAGGAATATTTTCTTGTACTGAAATAAACCAAGGGCAGTATTGGCTTTTGTCTGATGTGCAAGTAGAGTGCTGGAATGATGAACATTTAAAATTTTGTTTAACGATTGGTATACCATTCTTCTTACTATGGGTATTGGGATATCCTTCTTTCATATTTATTCATCTTTTTAGAAACAGAAAAAATATTAATGATCCAGATTTCTAAGCCAAATACTAATTTATGTATATGAGTTTAAAGGATAATGCCTTTTATTGGGAGATTCTGAATATATTTAGAAAACTTTTTATTGTGATAGTTAATGTAGCGCTCTAAAAATCAATAAATATCTTTAAAGCAATGCTCGTTTTATTGGTTCTAGTGTTATTCTATAGATTTTAAATGATGATATAACCCTACTAAGTACCAATTTTAAATGAACTGGAGAGAAGAGAAATTTAAACTACTATCTTTATTTATTTCAGTGCATTACTCTTTACTCAGGTAGAGATTAGCGAAATAATAAAGAGCATTCTTTTCATCATAATGATTGTTTTGGTATTCCATTTTATACTTTTATGGTTTTACTGTATGATAAGTTAATCAAGTAGCAAATACCTTTAGAAATTGTCAAGTAATATCAAGCCATTCACCTTCGTTAATTAAGGTCATGAGATATAAGTAGACTACTGTAGCTAATAAAGTAATAAAAATACTTTTGAAAATAATGACATTAGCATTTTACCTGAGGAATTTAAAGATGTATACTATTAAAATAGAGTAGCTTTGAAAGATCAAACTCAAAATTTATCTGAAATCAATGTCTTAAGAAGCATAAATGAATTACATTAGTAACATGTTGCTAATCAAAAGATGTATGCAAAAAATACTTCTTTAAAAACTAAAAGATTATTACTGTCATCCAATAGAAAAACTAACTTTTTGTCTATGGATTATCAATCTTAATGTGTTACAGGTGGCTTGGAAAATAGCCCATTAGGAAAATATTATTTATAATTGTCTCCGTAGAAGTCATCATTGAAAAAATCTAGTGAAATATTTATAAAGGAATACAAAATCAATGAAGAATAATTTATAGCATAGAAATAAGGAAATTCTATTAATTAGTAGTTACAAAACTAGCATTTCCCAAATGATGAAAGTGACAAGCAAAATGGAAATTACTAATAAATATTTGATATTAAAAAACCTCGAAATAAAAAGAAAAGTTAACCTATTAAAAACGTATTATAACTGATTGATAATGAAATTGCTAGTCCTCAATACGACTAGAATAAAAAATTCAAAAATTCAAATATCAAGCTACCGCCTTTGGATTATTAAAGCCATTATAATTTAGTTAAGACCAAAAAGGAGAGATTAAATTGAAATGATAAAGATTTGGCATTATATTAATAGTATGATATTAATATCAATATAACTTATAATTAATCGGAATTTAATAATGTTAAATTTTTAATTTAAAAAATAAGAATCCTGAAATTTTAATAATTTAACTATATGGGGTTTTGGGGTTTTGGGGTTTTGGGG